CCCCTACTCTCTGGACACAACCATCCAGGCAATTTCTCATCCACCAAACAGTCCATCCATCAAATCCATACCTTTCCAATTTAGAGAGAAGATTGTCAGGGGACTGTGTGTCAAAGGCCTTAGAGAAGTCCAGATAGATGACATCCGTAGCTCTTCCCTGTCCATTGATGTAGTCACTCCATCATAGAAGGCCACTAGGTTGGTCAGGCAAGACTTGCCCTTGGTGAAGCCACGTTGGCTGTCTCGAATCACCTTCCTGTCCTCCCTGTGCCTTAGCATAGCTTCTAGGAGGCATGTGCCTTAGCATAGCTTCTAGGAGGATCTGTTCCATGATCTTCCCAGGCACAGAGGTGAGGCTGACAGGTCGGTAGTTCCCAGGGTCCTCCTTTCTACCCTTATTAAAAATGGGGGCAACGTTTCCTGTTTTCCAGTCTCCAGGGACTTCACCTGACTGCCACGACTTCAAATATCATGGAGACTGGCTTGGCAACTACATCGGCCAATTCCCTCAGGACTCTGGGATGCATCTCATCAGGTCCCATTTTGCTAAACCACAGGTTCGTTTGTCTACTTCAGACATTCTTGAAGTGTGGTGTACTTTCTTAATTTGGAGATCAAGAGAGCTGATGACAGTTCAAAAAAAAAATATTTCTCAAAGCTGCTAAAATACCATTTTTTGCCATTAAACCAAGCCACAGCCAAAAAAGAAACCAAAGAACCTTTACAGAATCTAAGCCAACATAAACTTAGAGGAACAAAGTGGATCTCTAACAACTTTGCAACATCTAAGATTTTTTTCCACAGAAGTTCTTAGCTCTGATTTATATAGCTAAAAGCAAGTTTTGTGTGTCATATCTAAGTGTCACAGTCTCTTGTTTAAAGGCAGTGATAATTTTTTTTTTTTACTGACATGAAAAAAATATGTTTGGCTATATTAACTACACCTGGAAAAAACCACCTTCTTTGCTCTTTCAAGTTAATCTGTAATTAGGAGATGACTTCCAAAGTACCTACTTTGTGCCCCAGTCCTCTGTTATTTAGCATAATAATTTCTGCTTTCATATGTCAAAAAGCGGCACAGAAAAAAAACCACAACTGTTATATGTTAATCTAAACTGAGTAATGAAAGGATACATTCGTAATGCTCTATCTTTAGAAAGGTAGTCTAAAGAACCAAAGGAAAGAAAACAACTTTTGAGGGCAAGAGGTGTGATCTAACAAGAAGAAGGGCTCTTTGCCAGGAAGCTTGCAGAGGGATGCCTGTCGAGAGCTGGCTCTGCCCAGACTCAGGAGGCCAGGATTCACAGAAATCAGCATGAGAAGAAACTGCTCCTCTTCCTTGGCAAATCCCTCACCCAGAGGGAAACAGTCCCTGTATACACATACAGGAGGCCCTATTGTGCTCTGAAGTACAGCGGCAGAAATCTAGAGCCCCTAAGCTTTTAGAGCATTCCGGCCAAACACAGTCGGTGTCTGAGAGCAGGCTGGACCATAGCACTGGTATGGCTGCGTGGGCACAGTTTTTCTTGGCTGAAGCCAAGATGCTGCTTAAGAGGAAGCCCCACTTCTTCTCCTGTCCAGCTCACATGAGTGGAAGGTGGCACTGGCCTTCCAGCCATTAGTACTTAGCTCAGGCTGTCCCTGAAACACCCCCCTGCAGCGGGGTATTTACAAGCCCCCCCTGCCCCTAGCACAGTGGTGATGTGCTGTGCCTTGTTTCGTACCCTGGCAGACCACAAGGTTTGACATGCACCTGCCCTAAGTGTCGCTCTGCATGCTCTCAGCCCCCTGGTAGGTGCACAGAGCATGAAGTTCCTGTCCAAGAGGGACACTGCAACTGAGCAGTTACAAGCAAATGCTGGGGTGACTGTGCAAGGTGGCTGCTGATATGGTGAGTGCTGTGGACTGGATGCATGTTTTGCAGCAAGAGGTGCAGAGTTTCCACCCGCCGCAGCAGCAGGGGTGTGTAGGCACCTGGAAAAAAAGGCACTGGGTTTCATTCTCCTGCCGCAGAGCAGCCTTATCTTCTGGAAACACTGGATGCTGCTGCAGGTAGGAATGAAAAGCAGATGGGGGTGAGGGAAGAGCAGGATGTCTCTGGTCCTATTCACTCTCTTTCCTTTGATCTCAGAAGCACATTTTGACTTGCCCACCTGTAAGTCCTAGCTATTGCTTTTGCAGTGATTTCTCCTAACAAGGTAGGAGAAATCACTCCTAACAGCGGTTAGGAGGGAAACCATGTAATAACATAGCAAAACTATAATAGCAGTATGTGTGCATATGTCAATCAGCCCAACATGAAGTATAAAAAATGAACCAATAAAACGAACTTTAAGAGTGCAATGGGATTGGGCTGGCTTCAGCCCACATATTCCTACCTAGTGACTGGGGATGCTCATCTCCAGCGCCGACTGTCTTGATGGCCTCCCGTGAAATCCCTCCAGTTTGTCAATGTCTTTCCTGTATGAAGGGCCCAAAGTGGACACAGTACCCAAGTGAGGTCTGACACACACTGAGCAGAGGGGGATACTCCCTCCTCTTGCTCTCTGGACTGAGCCCTGTTCACACCACCCTGGGTGCTGCTGGCCCTTGTTGCTGCCTGGGCACAAGGCTGTTCCGTGCTTAGCTCATGGCCCACCAGGACCCATGGCCCCACCCATGGCATAGTCCCATCACAGCCATGTTGGGGGCTGCCAGAGAGAGGCAGGACAGTTACCCAGACCCTGGGTAACTGGTCACATCCATGTTCCCCGCCTCTCTCAGGCTGGATCCTGTGTCTGCAGTGAGGAGTTATTTCTCAACATTGAAATTAGTAGCTGAAAGAAGGAGAACCACAACTTATAGAGAAGCAAGCACCCGCCTTCATTTCACAGTTAACCTGACAGTAGGGACTGGAGATTCATTCTCTCCTTCTTGTGGGATGATGACCTTAACACATTTTTGCCTCAGTTTTGCATCAGGACACTCCCTCATACATGACACACTTCACTGCAGTGTTTACGGACCTGACATACCTGTCCTTTTTCCATTTCCATGACCATATCTGCCCCCGAGTGTGGGAGGCGTAAGAGCAGAGAGGGTGGTCTATCCAGAAATGCATCTGTTGGACACTCTGTATCTGTCTCTATTTTGTGGTCACTACACTCTTCTGAACACAGCTCTAGAAAGCAAATCATGTGCAATGACGTGACTTCTCAGAAGTAATAAAACCAAGAAGCAAAACCCACCTTAAACCCTATACCAGTTTTCTTCTAGACCCTGTTCTGATGCCCTGTTCTCTGTAATGTCTGCTGCACTGATTGGAAGTGCTTTGGAAAATGACATCTCAGTCAGCATATTTCAGAAGTCAGAGTCTAGACCATCAGGTTTCAGCTCACCTTGAAGAGTAAACAGTTCTGGATAGAGCTAACTGTGATAACACAAGTGCAAAATGGGACACTGACAGCATTACCACTATCAGGTGTTACTGAAAAGCATTTTTCTTCATTGCATGTTTGTCCTGAGAGGCCATGGCAAAACACTGACTGCAGGATGAGCTGGGTTGAGTGAGCAATGTTCTGTTTCCAGCCCCACCAGAAATGCCCTTGAGCTAAGAGCATTGCTTTCAGAGCCTGTGCTTAATGTGCATGTGGAGGGCAGATGGTTAACATCTGCTGTGAATTTTATTTTGTGAATTTTGTCACCGAACTTTTGGGAAGTCTTCCAGTAGGAAAACACTGCCATAGTGTCTTGAGCACTTACTTAGAAACCCTTTGGCTTTTCATAGATGCAGTAACACATTAAGGAAAAAGGATCAGCAGCCCCAGCCTGTGATGATCCTCTGTCCATCTCCGTACCTGTGGAGCTGTCTATGGGCACTGGTGACTCCTCAACTGAGGGATTTAGCAGGCAAGTGATCTCCTTTCCAAATACTTCCATGCAGTTGTTAATAAGGAACTCCACCAGCACTTTCACCTGCACACATAAAACCACTGATTTCAATCCAAGGGGCAGAAAATGCATCAAACAGCCTTTCTGACTCCTGACCCTTTCTTATGTGCAGAAAGCTGCAGCCACATCGCTGCTTTTACAAAAAGCTCCTCCACAAGCATTCAAGAGAGGAGACAGCAAGGTACCTCACAACAGGAATGCTCTGATTGGCCCAGATTGGTGTAGCTGGTTGGTAAATTCAGCGTATCTTGTCTTTTACCTCCATCAGCACCTCCAGCGGGAGCAGGTTCTCCTCGCTCAACATATTTGGTCCAATGCAGATGGTAAGATTGCTGGAGTCCATCCTGCTTGTTAACGAGTTTTGCCTGATGCAGTGCAGCACAGACAGCAACCACTTGAGGATGAGGAGATTGGCTCTAGGCAATTTGTCAGCCACCCTGAGGGAACATGAACATGATGTAACACCACTTCAGTGGCTGCTACTGCTTTAAAAGCGTGTATTTCATTAAACTTGTAGAAATGACATGACTTAATGGTGGATGAGCAAGCTATTCAACTATCTCTCGATGCGCTAGCTTCAGGTACCAGGTTATCTATTAGTCGGTCTTCTCACGTGAAATCAGCAACCCGCCGCATATAAGATCCTACGTTACTAGCTTCAGGACCATTCTTTCCCCCTACACCCCTAGCACAACTTGCTCTTTTGCGCCTCTGGTTCCTAAAGAGAGGAAAGTATGTGCTTTTTCATGACTTAGCAGCACTACCATTCAAAAATCACCACCAGCAGCTCAGCAGTGGGTTAACTGTAAGATCTGCACTGACTTGCTAGCATTACTGAAGCCCATGTCTTTGAGGAGATCAACAAATTAATAAATCGTATGTTGCCAAGAGAAATCACTGCAGGCATTCCTAGACAGATGAAAGCCTGCAGTTGTGTTGTGTAGCTTTCAAGGTACTCTGAGCCAGGTTTCAAATCTACTTTTCAGGAAGGAAGCATAGTAGTGTTTGCTAGCTCCTGGTTTCACTCAAGCCCCCTCAAAGGAAGACTTCTTGTTCATGCCTCATTGACAACAGAGGGACTACCTTCACTAAGACACTGCAACTGCTGGCCACTTCTTACAAGAGTCATTTTGTAGAGGAATCTCAAGAGCCTTAAGGAAGTGTTCTGACTAAAGAAATGCTTTTCTGTGCCACCTTCCCCCTAAATCCCCCTCCACAGCAGCAATAAACAGCTGTCAGAACCAATAGGATTTTACAGGAAACTCAATTTGCGGGGAAGTCCCAGGCCTCTAGAATCCCTCCATACCAGTGGCACTACTTGCAAAACTTACTCCCTCAGTTCTTCCAATCTCTCCTCCTTGCTCAGCTTCTCCAAGGGTCACATCCAGTCCTTGATAGAGGTCAGCCAGCAAGAGTTTCAAGGGGATGTTTCGGAATAAGTCCTGCAATGCCAAGAGCTTCAGATAAGGCTTTGAATGCTCCCTCTGATATCACAGGGGACATCCCGATGACCCTGACTTGGAAGAGGCAGGTTGGTTTCAATGACCTTGTCTCCGAGCTACCCATCAACGCTGACAGAGCAGGCAGCTGCTGGGTTATGGGCTAAGAAAACTCACACTAGCCTGCTAACAGAACTCCCCGCTCTTCTCTGCCCTCTGCTCTCCCCTAAATCTCAGTGTGCCTCCCAGAGGAGAACACTCAGGAAGAGCATGAAGTGAGTTTCCCATGGGCATGCCAGAAACCAGGGGCAGAACAAGAGGAATAGAAAAGGAGACAGAGAAGAAAAACACCAAACTTGGAATGGTAAGTCTGAGAAACAGAGTTTGGCTACACTGTGGCTTTAGCGTGGGCTCCCGGCTAGGTCAAAGCCAGTCACTGAAGTGGGACCTGCAGCGTAACAAGGAGCTCTTGCAGCCCGAAATCAAAAGAATTCACCTTCACAATCACTGCCAGCAGGTGCACAGTTTGGCTTTCCCGGTCAACATCCCCTCCTGTGTCTAGGGCCTCCTTCAGCTCCCGGTGTGCTTTCTTGCTGGCAGCTGGTCCGAATATCCCCTCAGCTGATGGTCCTTTCACGTACAGTATGTTCAGGAGTTCCTGTGGGAAACATGGGCTGGGGTGGGAGAATGGGGACTTTGATGAAGATAGGCCCTGTGGCATGTAAACCTCTCAGAGACAGAAGCAAGTTTGGATGGGGAGGCACACTCTGCTTTAACTGGGATGGGATCTAGGTGTTGGTCCAAGGAGATCATGTTGGGAGAAGCTTCATCTTCTGCCAGCACAGAAGTCATTTTGTGCTAGTGAACTCCCTTCACTGCCACGAAGACAGTCCTGCTTCCTTTCTTAGAAAGAAACAGGGCACAGGTCAAGCCTTCATGTCCAAATCTCTCCCTGTCCCTTCTGACTCAACCAAGCTAGGATGTGTCCCCCGCAGAGACTGCTTAAAAGGGGAAAAAAGCCTGTCTTTTGGAAAAACTCCCCATGGTGAAACTGCCCAAGAATCTTGTTAGCCCAAAGACAGTGTTTAGATACAATCAGTGCTAGCCCATTGCTGAGGACTTTTTTTCTGGAAACACAGAAATCCCTGGAGGTTTCCGATGCTGAGAAGAGTTCTTTGAAGGCTTTCTGTGAGACCACAAAGATTCAAGCAAAAGACCAGATCTACTTCTCTTATTCACAGCTCTGGGTTTTCTCACCTGGAGCTTTCTTCCCACAGAAGAGGTCTGGGCCAGACCAATCCCCAGACATGGCTCCTGCCATGTTTAGGCTGTGACCTAACCTGCAGGCTGTGGCTGTCAGAAGTGTGTGCTGGGAGGAAAACACACAAATCACCCATCTCCTGAGGTCCGTGGTATCTTTCCTAGGAATGCTGCCTCTCAGGAGAATCCCTCGCCAGGCTTGCTTGCCTGGATCAGCTGGGACAGTGTGCCATCTTCTCCACAGCCACCAGAGGCTGGACAAAGGATGCCCTTCTGCAGCCAGATCCCAATGGCCCTGGCACATTATCTGTAGTAGTAGACGTCTGTCACAGAGCAAAGGGACAGGGTAGCACCTTCCTTCTCTTTGTGGTTTCACCTGCTGCAAATGAAAACAAAAATCAATTAAAAAAAAAACAAGTGAGTGTTCTCCTACCCTCCCCTGTGTGCCATGCAGTCCTAAGCAGCACAGCAGGAAAAGTAGGGAGCAGAGTTGAAACTGCAGCTCAGACTCAATGGTGTCTGTGGCTTCTGAAAGTGTGCCACGATGGACTGTCCCAGATCTCGCCCTGCCCTGCTGACGCTCTTCTCCAGGATGTTGACAGCAGCAGAGGCTGTGTGTGCTCAGAGAAACAAGTTCAGCCACTGCTGCCAAGAAGGTTTCCTTGCTCTTGCAGAAAACGTCCGCGCTTGGGGCACCAGACCTCTGTTGCAACATTCCCGGGAGAAGTAAGCACAGCTCCTTCTGCTGAGGAACATGGACCCACCCGGCTCTGAGGACCAGAGCTGAGGGAGTCACCACCTGTAGCTCCCAGCACTGTCCTTGGGGTTCTTGGGGTGGGAGGAACCCTCTGAGGGCTCAGCTCTCTCACTGCTGCGTGCCGAGGGCTGTGACTTGCTCTGTGTGAAGGGCAGCAGGCAGCATGGGTTCAGCTGAATGGGAGGAAAGATGGCCGTTCCTCAGGTTCTTTTTTAACCTCTCCTGGCAGAAACCTCCTCCACTGCCAGCGGGGACCAGCAGATGACAGTGCGTGGTGTCAGCCTGCAAGAAGCACGTGCCGGCCACAGAGCAGCCCCCCAGCAAAAGGGGCCACCAGCGAGCTGCCTCGGCCAGGCGGGAACCCGCCAGAGGGCGGGCGGGAGCGCAGAGGCCTCCTGCGGCCGTCCGGAAGTCTCGCCCCTTCAGTCACATGTTCTGCTGTGATTGGCTGCCAGGAGCAGCCACCCCTTTCAGACGTCAGAACGGGAAGTCCCTCCCCTCTGTGCACAGGGAGCTGCCATTTTGTTTCAGCCACCATTTTGTGGCGGGGGGCTGCCGCTGTCTTGCCCTGCGATTGGCTGATTGCTGTTCTACCCACGTGGGCTGTGGTCTCCCTCTGATTGGCTCCTTGCTTCCTTTGGACCAGGAAATGCTGAGATATGGAAATATATACATTCATATACAATACTTGCAATATGGAAGTCGATATACAAAGGAGTGTACAATTATGTATATATTTTATTTATTTATACATAGATACACTAGTTTATACAGATATATACATCTACATGTATATTTATGTATTGGCATATGTGTATATGTATGTGTTTATATGAATATGCGTTTATACAGAAATTAAATACATACATGTCTGTAAAAGCATAGGTATGAAGTAGATAAAACATCTTTTACTAACAGCTAACAGGATGAATAATAAAGTTTTAGTGTGAATAAAAAGTACTTAAATAGAACTAAAAGGCAGGTTTACCTTCCGCAGAAGGAGCACCAACACACCGGGGGACACCAGGAGAGGGAGCATGGACCCCTCCAGGGAGCCGACCAAGGGGGCCCTGTGGATCAGTAGGAGCACTGGGGTGTTGCAGAGCTTTTCAGCTCAGACCATGATTATTTTGGGGCACAGAGGAGCAGGAGGCAGGATGGTGGAGATAATGGAGCTGTTGGGGCTTTTACTTCTGGGGCTTTGGCTTACAAGTCAGCAAAACAGGAAAAACCGTTGCAACAAGATGCTAATTAGGAAAGCTAAATGAATTTTACATCGCTTCAAGCGTCTTGTTGGCAAGGGGTTATGGGGACAAAAGGGCCCTTGATTGCAGACTGGCCCATGTGGTGGGCCAGTGAATGTCTCACACTGGGGCAGAAGGTGACCTCAGGAGTTAATATATGCATCACCCTCCTATCCAAGGGGAAAAAGGGTTGGGGGATCTCTAAGCCAACGAACAGTCTTAGACACGCCAAGAGCAGTTTCCTCCTTTTACACAATGAACATTATTATGGTGTTAGGGATGTCAGAAAGGTATTTGGGGTAAGAAACCTTTGTGGGCTTTGGCATACACTGTGTAACTATGGCCATAGCTGTAAATATTATTTACAGCTCTGTTATTGCACAACTGTGCAGTTAACTTGGGGGCACAGATAAGGTGCTCTGGCTGCAGGCTGCTCTGCAGGTCTGGGGAGTTTTTACAGAGGCACAAGACCCTGGCTATTAAAACCCAAACTGATTGTTTGGCTATGATTTTCTGTGAGACATGTAAGGTCTGTAAAAAAACATAATGAATGTAAAGGCTGGAAGTGTGTAACGAGCTAGGAACAGATCTGTAATGTTAAACAAGCACCAGTGATCAAAAATCATGCCCACGATCAAAAATCCAGGAGCAGGGCAGGGTTATATTTTCTATGACATGGAACACACGCAGGAAACTGGGACACATTTCCCAAACTACATTTTTACATGGAGATATCCCTGGATGACCCTTCAGCTGAAGAAGGGGCAGAAAAGAAAATGGAAAGAAAATGGGTGTTTAAAGGGAACACATCTTGTGCACTTTATTCAGCTGTTTATTGACACAAAGTTCAGGGCTACGCTGTCCTAGCACACACTGCCAAAGGCTTTGATGGCTACTTTATTGTAGGTCAGTTTCTGAAGGAAAAAATGGATGTGCAATTAATCACCCAAGGTGATAAGCTCATGTATATATGTACCCAGCCTGCATATGTTTCATAGAGTCTTTAAATTTTTTACCCACAAAACCAAGCAGTCTCTCCCACGCTTTGGGTATCAAGAGTTGCAAAGGTTATTTACCCCATTTTGTGAAAAATGCTGAAAAGGACCACCTAAAGAGAAGGTGTTTTAACACATTTATGGGCACATGAGTGGGTTGCTATGACAAAATGAGCTGGCGAGCTTGCAGAGTGCTTAGCCAGGACCAAACTGCCTACACTGTTGATCCCCAGAGATGTGCTTTTTGGTAGCAGCATAAATGCCATTTGTCTGTGTTACAAAGCAGCCCCCAATGAAAAGCTATATTGCTGTCATTTTACTATCCTCTTGTCGTGGTTTAATCTCAGTTGGCAACTAAGCACCACGCAGCCGCTTGCTCACTCCCCCCTGGTGGGATGGGGGAGAGAATCAGAAGGGTAAAAGTGAGAAAAACTCGTGGGTTGAGATAAAGACAGTTTAATAGGGAAAGCAAAAGCTGTGCACACAAGCAAAGCAAAACAAGGAATTCATTCACTCCTTCCCATGGGCAGGCAGGTGTCCAGCCATCTCCAGGAAAGCAGGGCTCCATCACGCGTAACGGTGACTTGGGAAGACAAACGCCATCACTCCCAACGTCCCCCAGCAAATGTAACCACCAGCAAAGGGAGCTCCTCGCCACCATCTGCACTGTGTGCCACACCTTGAAATGTAATTTGTGGTTCACAGACCCACCAGCTGGTTCTTTGGGTTGCCATGGGCTTTTTTGGGAATCCCATAGGGTCCTACCAGCCAATCACAGTGGACCAGAAGAGGGCAGGGACTTCTGGGACAAAGTCTGGGTTCTGCGTGGTCCTTCTGTTGCTCCCAGTAGTGCCTGCAGGGGAGAAGGCATTCCCTCCACACCATGCAAAATAGGCAGGATCTCCAACCTCCCATCCAGTCAGTTACCACATACAAAACAGTATTTGCCATTTACTAGGAAGGAATTAAAAGGGCAATACTTGAATGCTTAATCAATATTTATGTTTTCGTTTCTGATCTGATTACAGCTGCCACTGCAACAGACCACATGGAAGGGCTCCAGGCATGTCCCACACCCCTTCTGCACAATCTTGCCAGAATCATGGGTACAGCTGCTGGCTGCAAGAGGAAGGGCATGAATGAGCATCTTCTCCAACTGGCTGTCCAGGGATGCCAGGCTATTTCCCAGGTAAAGACACTGTGTGAGAAGTACCAAGTTCCCCAGGGCATGCATGGCCTCATCTTTTGGCTCCTCAACAAATGGCCACCTCCACCAGCTGTGACAGAACAGGGTCCTCAAGCCCCCACTTGCCATGGCATGGGGGCAGCTTATTGCTTACTCAAGAGCAAACAGGAGTGAGACTTCAGGCTGAGCAGCCTTAAGTCTCCCATGGCTGCAGGA